TAGATGACTGTATTCTACTAGATAATAATCTAGAACGTATGGTGGAATGGTGTTATTTAAATAAACTTAAGCTTAAATAGTAAATCCTATTCTTTAAAAATATATCCGATAACTTAACTTATATGTTAACTAATATTATTCTTCAGAAACCAGAGGGTTCCTGCATTTTAGGAGTTTGATAGAAGGTTAAGTTTTAATGTACACGTTGATAAGTATGGTTACTACTACGAATAGTTGTCAACATCAATAAAAAAAAACAAATTGTTAATATTTGTAAATACATTATCGTAACTGAGCAGATATTTTATTGAGCGCCCGAAAAGTTAAAAATAAAAGAAAATTTAATTTGAAAGTTCATTTACATGAAAACTATCAGAAATTAACCCTACATAATATGGTATTGTTGGAAAGCTAATTCTTCATATTAGCTAATTCCATTTCAAAATTTTTAGTAATTTTTGAATTTGCAAACCTCGATCACTCTGTGTAACAAATGGCTGCATCGGAGTCTGTTCTCGAATTTATGAGCCTCTACTAAGAAAACGATCCATCGAATCGCCCATAAACCCTATATTATTTTGCTGCATTTTGATAGGGCTATCGAAATATGTAAAAATATACAGTGTTCTGTTTAAAAAAGATGCAAGTTTGTGTTAACACTCTTACATGATTAGTACAAAAAAATTAAAATAATTTTAAAATGTGCTCCCTATAGATGTACGCCTCTGGACTAAATTTCATTTTGATATCTCTTCAGGCTTAAGAGCTATCCTCCGTCCACACACTAATAGCGGACTCGGTATAGTACGTATAGTCCGAACGATATTTGTAGGGATAGAATTCCAAGAAGACCTCTGCGTCACTTTCTTGGAATTATCCGCATTTGACACCCGAGGTATAAAGGCATTGGCGAAAAATTTCAAGGCACGCCCTTCCGCGGTAAATTGTTACAATAGTTCCAATAATTTTCTTTCTACCTCAACAAATATTGTGAGGACTGTCTCTAATGTTACATCTGATGCAGAGGTGGTCTGTGGATGCACATAATACCTAATACGAAACAGTTTAAAAATATGAATATCTAAAAATGAATTTTATAAATATTCATATACTTTACTTAAAAACATGAAAATGCTCCGCGAGTGAACAAATTGTCCACGAACCGCATTACCGGTGAAGTTCAAGAATGAAAAAAGCATTTCACCTCAACTTGGAAATTCTATTTTTTCTACTCTTACCTTTATTTAATACAAAATGATACACCAATTTATTTATTATTTTAGTTGTTTTCACATAACAAAATACATTATATTCAAAATTGAAGCTATATACAGAAGTGAACTTAAAAAAAAGATAAAATATCCAATCATTCTGCAAGATAAGACGATTCCTAGTACCAGTAAATTTAATCATGACCAAAATATGACAGAAGATATAAGACACGATTAGAAGAAGATAACACTAAAACAAAAAATATCTGTGTTTTTGGTGTTATTACACTAATACTTAGTTAATAGGTAAATTTGCACCACAAACCTAAATTCATCGGCACCCGGAAGTAGGGATCCTACATGTTTTTGGGGTGGCTGATCATGAATCTGAGCCCCAAAATACTCTATCACGTAAAATTTTACAATAAATTTAAAAAAAATGTCTAAGAATTCGATATATGGTCGATATTTTACGCATTATATCAATCTGGAAATACATTTACACGCAAAAGATGCTCAATACCGAACTCATAAACCCTAAGCCCAAAAACCCTAAGCCTAATCCATAAGGTTTGTGGTCTGTGTTGTGAGTATAAGTATTCAAAAATCGAGAAATAAGTCAAACTACTAAATTTCAACATGCGATTTCTCAAAGACGAAAAATTATATCGGGATAAACCCAAGTGCGTTTTAGACCCTATTAATGGTTTCAGCAAACAAAATACCTTTCCATGAAACATAACGTCAAACATGTCAAAAAATCTCGATTTTGGCACTTTTAGGTTAGGATATCTCGAAAACTAGACCATTTGAGAAATTTGGAACTCGGATTCGAATTCAGCGCACCAAAGTAGCTGATCAAAAAATGTCAATTCAACGTTGTGACATTGGCAGGTACTATACAGGGTGTTAATGAATTTTTGCCACATGTCCGTTATCTCAAAATGAGGTAAATACACGGTTTTGTGTTGAGTAAATTGTAATTTTAAAATCTGAGGTACCTCAACATTGCAAGGAGCCGCCTCTTGAGAACTGCTGATTTTCATAGATGTTCGATGTAGCCACCATTTGCTTGCACACAAGCTTCAGCATGACGTATCCAATTCGCTCGCGTTGCAATATTGCCACATCCTCTCGAATCGTATTACAAGCTTCCGCAATACAATGTCGCAGTTTGTCGATGTCACGAACTTCCGTGGAATACACAACACTTTTCACATATCCCTACAAAAAAAAGTCTAAAGGGGTGAGGTCCGGGGAACGGGGGGGGGGGCATCTAACTAGGCTGCCGCGGCCTATCCAGCGATTGGGAAAAGTAATGTTTAGACAGTCGCGTACTCTCCGAAAAAAGTGAGCGGGGGCTCCGTCATGCAGTTACCACATATCTTGCCGAACATTTGATGGCACGTCTTTCAATAACTCCGGCAAGCAATTTTGCAAAAAATCTAGATATGAAGCACCATCTAAGCGTCTAGGTAATTCAAAAGATCCTATTAAAGTGTCATTAACGGTACCGGACCACATGTTCGCTAAAAACTATTGATGAAAGGCACCGCGACGTTTTTTCTTGTGGATTTTCGATAGTCCAGTGGTGAGTGTTGTGGACGTTACGTACAACACTTCGACTGAAACATGCTTCATCTGTAACAAGTATTTGTGCTGTAAATTGAGGATTTCTTCCATGTTCTTGAAGCAACCATTCGCAAAAACCTCGACGCAGTGGAAGATCCTCAGGAGTAAGCGCTTCAATATGAAATGGGTACAACTGAGCTTCTCGTAATGCCCGCCACATAACATATACGAAATATTTACTTGCTGTGCGATATTTCTGGTGCTACGATGCGAATCTTCTCCGACGAAATCTAAAACCATCTCCTCGATATTTAAGATTCTTAGTGGTTGTCCTGGGCCACCGGCGCGACCTCGACGCGGTTGTACTTCACCGGTGTCCAAAACTCTTTGCGCTACAGCAACAAATGTTCGCGGTGCGGTGGCGTCGTTCAAGATATCTTGCACGGTACACTTGACAAGTTTTGTGGACATTTTCTTTTGCTTCGCCATAAATTATGAGCATATCATAATATTCACGATTGCTAAATAAATGCGCCATTTTCAAAAGAAAACTTGGAAATACGGCCATTAAATATACTCCCGAAAAACAGCACAGCAATCACTACAACAATGTATTACAAACTGACTTTCGAATACAGTCCGGCTTCATAAGAAACCTACAAACTTGTAAAAAGTGTTACAGAATTTTTTTGTAAGTACTCGCCGCTATAAATACATGTATTTCAGCAGTTCCAAAACAGTTTTAAACACATTTTTAATTAGCTTTTTTCTCTATGACCTTAAACTTCCGATACAAGTTTGTAACATCAGTTAACTCAGTTTTTACTTCTTTTTCACCCATTTGAATATTTGACATAAGTTCATTAACATCCTGTATAAGTAGGCACGCCATCTGATTAGAACCACATTATTAAACTGGTTCCAGTTATCATCCAGAAAACAATTGAAATGGGTTTCCAAGACACCAAGTAAATATGAGCGTTAAGTGATTTATAAAAAATGTAGTCCAATTAAGTGAACATTAAGGACACCGCACCAGATATGTAAATGGCACTGATATTGACAATCGATTTCTCAATACCAATGTGGATTTTCAGCAGAAGAATAGTAGCTGTTATGTCCAGTACTATGAAATATAGACTTATCAGTATCAATAAAATGGACATAATTAAAAACTGTCGTTGATTAATGATTCCCACTGTCTTCTTCATTGGCAAAAAATATTGCATGTTAATAACGTAATAATGTAAAAGAGTTTCAGTCCATACAAATTAAACAAATCCTCGAAATAGTTTTCTCAAAATAATTCAGTAACTAGAATAGAAAAAGCAATAATATTGTAGAATGTAAATGAGAAGAAAGGAATGCTATATTAGAACTTTTATTTGAAACATTTTTTTTATAAAAGAAATAATTTTTGAGATTTCCATTAAAATAGGACATCCGATATATAAAAGTGCTCATATTTAGGATACAAATATGGGCATATTTAGGCAACACACTTTGGTTTTTCTTTTAGACGAGTGATCTTGACAAGGTTTTTTTTTTCAAAAGTAACAAAATAAGTAAGAATTATTTAAGTAAATACGTTGTTATGCTTTTTTTATTTTTAAGTTTACACTAGACGGAATAGTGGACAATAACATTCAAATTGTTTTTTCGTATACAAATTATATGTAATCTATACTTATTATAAAAATATTCATAATAATATTTAAGACAACTTTAACTTATCCCATTATTATACCAGTCTATTCCACGAGATAAGTGATTTTATCAATTGTTCAGTTTCTATAAAGTCCACAGATTCCATATTTGCACCGTTAGAAGTAAATTTTTAAGCCAGTGATTGCAGAAATCAAATTTTTCAAAATTATGGACTTATCCCCTTCTTGCACCAAGGTCTTCAAATAAGATGCAATAATTTAGATTTTGGTTTGGAGGAACGTAAGTTCCAACTAATCACATTTAAACCACTTAAATAATAGTGCAAACCAATCAGACACCTAAATGGGCAGGAAGCGAACCCTCCAGAAGGGCCAACAACCAACTCTCCCGCCACACACAAAAAGACAAAACCTGAACGCAACTAATTGTGCAACGACGGAAGTGGTTAAGCTTTGTTTGACTATGTAATTACTTTTCATTCATGCACTTGCTGTAAGCTGGCTGTTAAACATAGTGGGGGCGTCCCTTGCGGAGCGCAGCGCCCACTGAGCCACTGGACGCACTGGACTCAGTCAATCCTTTGCTGCGTGCTACAGTGAGCTGCCCCAAGGATTGCGCGCGTAAATCTCCAAGTTTAAATCGCCTTTCAATGTCGACACACGTTAATACTGATTAGTGATGTTCTAAGAATAATAAAAAATTTATATTATGCGGTTAACAATGAGAAAATGAGACTGAAGGACAATGCCGGCGATATTTGTGGTTTTGTTTTGTTTTGTGGCAAAGACACTGGCTAGCTTGGATCACTTGGATACCACGGTTGAATTTCAATGCGCCCAGCATTGTCCGATGCAGGTATATGTTACTGATATCTACATTAAATGTAATGTAGCGTCCTTCCTATAACACATTGCAGCATTCAGTATTAACTTATACAGGATGTAAATAAATAAGTGAGAAAAAAATCAGGAGGTGATTCCCTGTGGAAAAATAAGGTAGGTCTTTCATATAAAAAAATATCATATGAACACCCCCTGCTTAAAGCAGCCGCTTAAAGAGGGTGCCAAAAAACTAATTTTTAATATTTTTTTCCGAAATACCTAAAGAATGACAGAAAGGAAATTAAGTAAACATTTTCTGCTGCTGCCTAGCGTTGTAAGGGGTAGAAGAAGTCACCCGTAAGACTTGTTTCATACGTAACTTTTTTTCTTACTACCTTACCAATTAAAAATTCATTTATAATTAATGCAACTTTCTACATTAGAGTACACCTCCATTTTCATGAATTTCCATAAAAAAGTTCTCGAAATTATACATTGTTTCAGCAAATAAAAATAACTATAGCCTTACTAACAACAATTAATTAAGTTTCCATTACAAAATGTCAATGTGACAGCCGCCTACTAGATAAATTACAGTTCGATAAAACTCATGTCATGTAATAGATTTTAAATAAATGTTTTGCTTAGAAATGGTTAATTTTAGGAACAAATTATAAGTGTCCTTTTTTGTTTAGAATGAATCAAGCTATCTGAAGTGAATTTTGGTAAGGTTGGTGGCAATAAGAAAAAAAAGTTACGTACGAAACAAGTCTTAGGGATGGCTTTTTCTACCCCTTACAACGGTAGGGGAAAATTAACAAATTGTTTACTGAGCAGAAAATGTCTATTTAATTTAATTTGTGTTACTTTTTGCATTTCAGAAAAAAATTAAAAACTACTTTTTTAGCACCTTATTGAAGCGGTTGGATCTTCACAGGAAATGTTCACGAGATTTTTTATATGAAAACTTATCTTATTTTTCTACAGAAAATCACCCTCTGATTTTTTTCACACTTATTTATTTATTTACGCCCTGTATAGCTGTTTCACTTAAGAGGGATCCTTTTTTAACTCTTGTAATATCAAATCAATTTCTTCATATTTTAAAATCATTTTCTATTGTACAGCTTGTCCCACTTCTTCTAATTTTATTTTTTTTAAATTGAACATCCTGTTATAATTTTAATTTCTTGTTGAATTTAAAGCCTACTATGATAAATAAATATCGAACCCATATAGGTCATATCGTTTTGCTATTATTTGATGTTTTTTTTTTTAATAAAAATGCCGTTTTCAGCATCCTCAAAAACATCAAATATGTCTAAAATATTACTAAGAGATGAGTTCAGTAAAATATGAAAAAACGATTATTTGTTTGATAGAGTCGCGGGAAGTGGTGGAATATCACTCTAGATTGTAAAGAGATTTGCTTATTTTCTTTGACTACCTCTTCCAACATTCCCAAATTTATGGAGAATAATATACCTATGTAATTAGGTACAGCAATTTTTAAATCGAAAATTATAGACCGTACAGGGTATTACCTGCGTTTGATAAATTATATGAACAAATTCTTTATACTTTCACATGGTACAGTTTTATTAATTTGGTTAATAACATGGTTTTGTGAAATGAATAAATGAAAAATTCCAATTACTAATAGGCTTAGTATCTCTCTATAAATATTTTTATTTAAATTATTTCGAATAATATTTACAATTGCCGCATTGTACATTTAGTATATTTTCCTGATTTAAGGGTATCTGTCCTAATCCGGGGACAATGACCAAAAACACTAGCACTATGCTTAGGCAGGTAATTCTTGGAATATAACCCAAAAAATAAGGTGAGTTTGTTTAAAAAATAAAAATCTTTTTTTATGCTTCCAAATTAATTTCATCGCCTTCAAAATATTCCCTACCCGATACAATGCACTTCTGCCAACGTTTTTTCCAACTCTCGAAACAATCTGAAAAGTCCTTTTCCGGTATGGCCTTCAATTCTGTCGTCGATTCGGCTTTTATTTCCTAGATCGAGTCGAAACGGTGTCTCTCCACAGAGTGGTCTTTTGAGTTTAGGGAATAGAAGTCACTCGGTACTAAATCAGGCGAATACGGTGGTTGCGGAACGATATGATTTAATTTTTGGCTAAATGGTCTAGAATTGTCAATACTATGTGAGCATTATCATAATGCAAAAACCAAGAGTTGTCCGTCCATAATTCTGGCCTTTCGCGGCAAATAGCATCACGCGAACAACGCATAACACTCAAATAATAATCCTTGTTAACAGTTTGGTCGTCCAGAAACGGTTTTAGTAATGTCAGTCTTATATATCAATGTCGGAAACAAAAAACGAAGATTTAAATCTTGCATGTTGCATAATTATTATGCCCTTTATATTTTTTCGCATATATATTATTGTATTTTTTTATATCTGTATTCAATTGTTTTTGGAATGTTTCTGGTCATGGCCAATTTGACAGCAGGTCTGATACGAGAAAAACTGTCCAAAAAATAGAAAATTGCAAATTTCTCTAAAAGTAGTAACGGCAACCCTAACAATGATTATATGGCTTGAAAGGAAATTTTAATCTGCATGCGACAGAGTAAAAAAATATAGGGTGTTCCATTTAAGTTAACAAAGCTATAGCTGTTTGAAATTATCAAAATGTAACAGCAAAAATGAAACACATAGTATTAAATGTTTTAACTTGTTGGTATACCATAATTTAGTATTACCTATGTCCTTTACAGGCACCAAAAATCCGCTTGGAATCACTCTCCTGAAAAGAGTTACTAGCATCTCCGCAAACTCTTGTATCTGTCAATTTTTTTCTTTAAAAATTGATATATCAAAATCTATAACTCCTAGGTATAGGGAATATTTAATAAAGTTACCCTCAAATTTCAGGTAGAATCCGAAAATGTAATAATATATAGGGTGTCGCATTTAAAATAACGAAGTTGGTGTCGACTTCCGGTATAATCGGAAGGTCTAGATTTTCAAATTTTCAAATTTTTCGAAGCAATACTTTCCTAGATATCGATCGACGCAGTTCCCGGTGGGACACCCTGTATATGCTTCAATATTTAATCTTATTATTCAGTATCATGTATTGAAGAAATAGTGAGAAGTGCTAATCTTGGAAACTAACCAATTCCCGATTCGTATTTATGGAAACTTGTTTTTCTAATTTTGAGAAGTTCTTTTCTGTCATCGGTAAAATTCGACCTGTGCAATTCGGAACACCCTGTATTTCGATACAAAATATATCGATAACAAAAGATCTGAGATTCTGAACTGTAAAGGAAAAAAATTCTATTTTATTTTTCTCAAAGAAAAAGAAGAAATAAATAACATTTTGTATAATGCTGCAAGTAATTTTAATCTATAAATGTTTGAAAATCCTGTTCTCAATCAAATTTGTGAAGGTTGCCTCTTTAAAATTAAATAAACTACAACAACAACAACTTGTTAATAGTAACATTAAGTCGAGCATTAAACAGATATTTTCATTACCATACTAGTATAGTGACAGCAATAAATAATATGAAAATATGAACATTATTAAATCAATGTCTTCTGTCAAGATGTTTAAATATATTTATTTTTAGATAGATACCTACATGTACCATTAGAAAATAATCTACATGCAATTTGGGAAAACAATAGGTATATATCCAGAAATAAGTACTGGGTGATCGATATATCTTGAGAAATTCGTTTTTATTGAAAACAACTGAGTTATTTAGATTCTGAAAATTCAGTCATCTAAATCAATCTGGGATAAAATAATTTTAATTATTACGAGTATAATCGAAAACAGTAGAAAACATAAAAACCCTAAATAGAAAAACGTCTTACAGCAGTCTTTTTTGTGGCATCAAAACAGGGATACGTTTCAGATCGCCAACAATAAGTATACTTTTGTATACTTGATCTGAGAAACAGTGAATGTTTTTGTGAAAACTAATGTCACATTTCTCGTATACATTCATATTATCTATTACCTAATAACCTAACTAAATATTTAAAAAGACTAGTGCAAATTTACTACTAATTAAAATAAGATTTTCTTTTTTTAATTGACAAGAATTGAATGTTTCATGCGATAATTTTCCCATTCAGTGAATATTTCAAGGATCTCTTTGAAATTAACTGGCATCTTTATCCTAATCATAACAAACAGTTTTTCTCACTAACCATGGTTCAATTGTTTATTATTATGTTTTAAAATGTATAATCTACATAAAAATATTAATTTAATATAATTATTCTTCAATGGCTACCAAGATTACTGGAATTGAGTTTTATTTTTGAATTTTCATATAAAAAAGTAAACGAATAACAAAAATAAAATACCATAATTGTTTCAGAATTATATTGGAATAAGAAATTTTAAAATAAATATTTTTTACTTCTTTTCGGTTATTATAACACCTCTAAATTTAAATTAGAATTTTGGAAAAACATTCACTTAAACTCGATATCCTATCTATTAACTTTTTATATATTTTTTCATAGTCACGAATCTGAATCGCAATGGATAACTTTATAGGAATTATACATAGATACGTCAATCAAGTTTCATAAAGGTCATACACGATTACAAGCCACGTCACCAATAATTCTATTTGAAACAGTAATTTTGTTTCCTTCACGTTGGCTATTAAATTTCCGTAAAATTAAAAATGATCAATATGATCAAGAATACATTAAATCACAACATTCTGTCTGACCGGCTGGTGACTGGCGTAATTTTTCACGAGATTCTAATCACCGATCGCATTATACCGAGTGAAAACGTCTGTCATTATTAATTGTAAACGAATAATTAATGTTGGTGACATCAACACGACTTTTTTGTCACTCGTAATAGGTACATTTTTTTTGTCATTAGCTTTTAACTAACCAAATACTAATGTAGTCATCATCAGATTAGATCGTGATGTTAATTTCCAGCTTTTGAAAGATTGAAAGCAAATTTCCGACAATAGTTTTCGAAAAACTTCCTTCACGTCACCACCAAAC